AAACTCCCCAAAGTCCAGCCCAAAACCCAACTAGGTAGATTTCCATCATCAACTACCTTTTTCCAAAACCCAATACTTTCTATGTCCTTTCTAAATCTAAACTTATCAAATTAAAAATCCATTACTGCGGGTTCTCTCTTGGAGAGACATCCTCAAGCCCTTATTAAACCTCTTTATTAATCCTTTTTCCACTTATACCTTCGATCAGGCTCCCCTCATTCTTCTCTAACAATGAATGTAATTTAAGAGTCTTAATCTTTCTTCATAGGAAGTTTTAATGCATGTATTAATTTAGTCACCCACGCTAAAATTTTTTCTAAGATTTTATGTCTTTTGTAATAGGGAGCCCAGAACTGAGCTGATAATCTAGGTGGGCCCTTACTAATGATGTATAAAGTGCAGTATGCCTTGGACTTCGTTGCTTACACTTCTTGTATAAATCCCGTAATTTTTTTGTTATTCGTAGCTTGGGCATTGCTGTCTGGTTTTAAAGGGTTTGTGTCACCAAAACCCCCCAAGCCTTTTCGCAATCGATGGCTAATTTCTACTCATTTAACTTATAAGTACTGGGGTTTATGGCACTCCCAGGCTTCAAAAATTTGCATTTATCTAATTGAACTGCACTGCCCTTTTGTGACAAAAATAGAGTTTGTTTAAATCCTCCTGAAGCCTAACATCTAGTTTGAATCAATTATCCTCCCTATTTTGTGTCTCGGCGAATTTGCCCATTCACTAGAAATTTCCCCTCATAAAGATCATTGATATATATTATAAACAACTGTGAAACCCCCATTGTTAAGATCCCCATCGGATTTAACCCCTTTAGGGACACTCTCTGCTTCCTGTCAGTGGCCATAAAACCCGATCCAAAACATTTTCCCCCCCAAATGCCATGAGCTCCCCATTTCTTTAACATCTATGGGCGGATTTCTACAAAAGCCTTACTAAAATCTAAGAAAATATACAAATTCTTTACGTGGTCAAAGCCTCAAAAGCTTTACTGAAGAAAATTTTAATAAATTGTTAGACAAGCCGGCCTTTTTGTGAACCCATGCTGGTATTTTAATCAAGCATGTTATCGAGATGGCTTTATAATCTCAGTTAATTGACTCTAGAAATTTTTGCCTAAAATTTGGGGGTCAGGTTTATTGGGCGGTAATTTTGATGGTAAGACTTGTCCCCCTGTTTTAAAAAATGGGAAAAATTTACTTTAGCCATTTTCCCACATATCAGACATCACCTGTTTGAAGAGATAAATTAAAAAAAAAATTTTTTAATGGTTCACAAGAGTTCCTTTTTGCATTCCCTTAAGCCCCCCTTTTGAAAAAACCTCATCGGGCCCCGGGCAACTTTTTTCTTCAGCTGTCTATCTGCTTCCAAACCCTTTTCACTAGTGACTGGATGTTACATAATTTATCTTCTAGCCAAATAAAAATTAATTACTGAAAAATTTTTTAGTGCTTCCTGTGAAAAATGAGAGAAAATAATTATTAAAAAATCGAGCACTTTTATTCTCTTTGCGTAAGGTGCCCCTATTATTTTTAGGGGACCTATTTACCTAACTTTTGTTCTTATACCTGGAAAAAAAAATTTTGGGTTTTTTTTAAAACCCTAGCAACTTAATTTTATAGTCCCTTTTAGCTTTTTTTATCCCTTTTTAAAGTCCCTCTTAATGTCAATATACGTTCATAAGTGACCTTCACTCTTTTTATAGCCTATAAATTCCCTTTTTTAGCCCTAGTAATATTTGAGTTATAATTTTATCCCTTTTGGGTCATTTCTATTTGACTAATTCTTTTTATGGGATAAACGTTCTTGAGCAGCATGAATTTCAGAAAACTGTCATATTGTACTCACTTCGTTTCCCCGTCAAAAAGATATAAAGGGTTTTCTAAGCCCCTCGTAATTGCAAGCGAAAATCTGGGGCTGTTACTGGTTATCGCTCTATCGTACTTCCATTCATGCTAAAATGTAATTGATTTGGGTCCCTAGCACCCAGTTTCCCCTGAAATTTCTAAATTTTTAAGAAGGATGCATGTTTGCCAAACAAGTCAAGCGGTTTTTTCCCCCCTTGTAGGTTCTGTACAAACTGCTTCAAAAAACAATCCTGAACTACTTCTAAGAAGTCGTATGATTCTAAATTCCCAGTCAAAAAATTTCCCAATCAATATGACTAAGTTAAAGTCTCCTAGAATTACTACATTATCGTGCCTTGTGCCCCTTAAAAATTTTCCTCCCTTTAGTAGTTCCCCCCTTGGCCCTATTAATTTTTGGGGGCGGTATATCACTCCAAAAAATCAGTTTTTCATGCCCCTTTTTAAAATTCTATCCAAACAGACTTTTGTATGTGTTACTTCAGACTTAAAAACCCGTTTTTTTATGCAACAGTTCAAGCGATCTCGGACATCCCAATCCCAAACCCCACCCCCCTTTCCCCGATACTTTTATCTACTTGGAAAAATTTTTAAAACCTGAATATGACATTCCGCAGGCTTTGTCCCGACTTTTTGAATTAAACCAGTCTCAGTTAAGGCAAATACATCATGTTACTGCACTAGCAACTAATCTCAACTTGTCCATCTTATTCCTAGCACTACGGCAATTAGCATAATAAACATTGAAAGACTCTCCTTTTTCTTTACCCTTCCTGCTCATTTCTGTTTTTCTACTAAACCTATTACTGTCCTTATCACCCAAAGTCCCTGGCTTTTCAATATCTACCTCGTTCTGCTTATTACTAGTTCCCCTAGAACTCGTAATATTACTACACTGGGACTTCACTGTTTTCCTGCCAAAACCCATACCACTAACTATTCCTAGTTTAAAGTCCTAACTGCTCCCTCCACTGCAGTTGCCAGTGCTACCACCCCAGACCTAGATAAGTGAACCCCAGAGAAAGAGGGATAGAGGGGTAAAGCGGAGAAAGGGGAAAGAGAAGGCACTCAAGAAAAATAGAGAAAGTGGCTACGGTAGAGTTATTACAGAGAATGGGCGATATACCTTAGAGAAAGGGGGGAAAAGGGGAGATAGAAAAATAGAGGCCGATACTGTCAAAGTACCACACTTGGTTCCACTCCGAGGACAGAAAGAAGTGAGCTTCTACACCACAAGACGGGTAGCAAGCAGCAACTTCAACCTGTCTGTAACTTGTCCAGAACATCACTTCATCTGAGATCAAAATTTATTCCCAGGATGACTCGAGTCTGGAACATGTTCGTACAGCATTATGATGTCAACGAGATAAAGTCAGTTGATCTAATGAAAATGCTGGCCCACAGATGGCTCCAACTCCATCCTGTTCCCTGCTTGTATATCTCATAATAATAAAAAGACTTTTAAATGAGCTGATGTAGGTAACAGCTCTTAAGCTTCTAAATAAAGTTAGGAATCCTTAACCTTGTAAAACCCTGTTTAAAAAAGGAAGAAAGAGAGAGAGAGATAGTCACTTTAACGAGGCCCAGTATACTTTAGAGAAAGGGCAAAGGTGGATCATAAACCAATCAACGTCAAGGGAAAAAAGAGCAAAGCCTATCTGTGAACACTGCGGGCAGCAATGAATACTGAGGGCAGCAGCACTGAACACAGGAGGCAGTAGGACTGAACACGACGGGCAGAAGCAGTGAACACAGCAGTTGGCAGCAATGAACACGACAGGCAGCAGCAGTGTACACGCTAGGAGGCATTTGCATCACTGAACCCAGTGATGATGAACTTTTCGGAACACGAGTCTTTGTTCACGATGTTACAGACATTGACACAGGAATGTAAGACTAATACCACAGGTGTTAAACACACGGAAGGTATGAAACACAGATATGTAATAAATAATAATAATAATAATAATAATAATAATAATAATAATAATAATAATAATCATAATAATAACAATAATAATAACAGCAACAACAACAATAACAATAATAATAACAGCAACAACAATAATAAAAATAATAACCGAAATAACAATGATAATAATAACAATAATAATACTGACGGACAACTAGCAGTTCTCCTGAGCCAGAGTCAGTGTGGAATGAGGGAGATTCAGCTGACACTTCACACTTGTACTTCCCTGAAGTCTTGAGCGACACTTCCTTCAGCGTCACCTTCCGGTCACTACTCTTGCCCATCTGTAGGAGAGGGAGAGACGAGGAATTTAGTTCAGACACCTTGTTCACCTAGTTAGTGTGGGCAAAAGCGAGAGAGAGAGAGAGAGAGGAGAGAGAGAGAGAGAGAGAGAGAGAGAGAGAGAGAGGAAGGAGGGTGAAGACGTGTCACAGTGTGCTCCACAAACTTTCTTAATATTACTTAAATACGAGGGTTGGTGAGAATAAAAACTGTTCATTGACGTAGTACTACCTACAACACATTAGTACAAGTAAGCCAACTCTTCCACTGAAGTGAATATAGGCAATATCAGTGATATTTAAGTGTGGTATGGTGATGATATGGTGTGAGTGAGGGGACAGCGGCAGGCCTAGGAGTGACGTCACTATTGCCTTCACAGTGAGCATCTAATAATATTATATGTGTTTTGTGCTATGTACTAGCATCTGGTGCTTTATAACAATATGACTGGTACAATGCAACATAGTGATTTGTGTAACATCTTCCTTTAGTGGAAAAGTGGATAGCATAAATAGTGTTTATTAAGTGATAGTGAGAAGGCAACACTTCCAGCTCGTCGGCCACTGCCTGCCCTCACTACCCACCCAGTTATAAACACCCCCACCCACGATACCCCACCCAACCCACGATACCCCATCCCACCCACGATACCACCACCCACTCTCTCTCCCTCCTGTGAACTTCATTGCAAACCTACATGCATTCTCTGGGATGACTTCACATCGCAAAATAGTAAGAATATCTATGCTATCTGCCTATTGTCCCAGTAGTTACTGCAGTGTTTGTGGGTATACCACAAGGGATAAAATTCTTCTTAGATGTAAGGAACCTACTTGTTCCAACTACTGCCACACAGATTGCATTCCAGAAGAAGAATTTTGTTGCAGCCAGGTTGAAAATTTCAGAAAATTGAAGGATATCCATAATCCTGTGATATATGTGGATACAAGCCTGGAGCTACAGGAGGAAGGTTCAGAAGTCCTACCTCAGGGACTTCTGTCCAAAGATCAAGACTGCCCTCTTGGGCTGGGTTGTAAAGTTGTAGCTAAGATAATCCATCACAGGGAAGCACTTTATGAGCTCCTCAAATCATTAGATAACCTCCAAGCTATTGCAGAAGGCCAGTGCAAGCCTGCATCAAGTGACGTAAGCTGCTCAGCTGATGGTGACACTAGTGACAAAGACTGGAAGTCCCACACTGAGCTTAACTCAGGGGTAAATAATTGGTGGAATTCTGTCATCGTTAAGGTCCCACAGACAGACAGAGTTCAACACTACCTTTGGGAATTCTAACACAATTCCTCTGACCACCATAGAGGAAACAAATCCTCTTCCCAGCAACGAAGCAAACCTTGGATCTGTTAATTCTCCTACACCTGACATCTCTGCTTCAGCCACTGCCAGTCCACTTGACAGTGCACATACCATCTCTGATCCTACACCTGTCAGCACACGTACCGACACTATTCCAGAATCTGGTAGCAGTGCTTCATCAGCAAGTTCCGAGTCAGAAGTTTCTCCACCAGAGATTGGTGCAGTTAATACTCAGGGAACTATCACTTCACCTGATCACCTACTGCGCCAAAGTACGAACAGCAGGGACACATCTGTCAGAACTGGTAGAGGACTGGGCAGAGGACGTCGAAGAGGACGTGGAGGAGGAAGACATCTACAGCCGTCTCACCCTCCACTAACACAGTTCCAGCGGCAGACCCTGAGGACAAATCTGCAAAACACAGGAGGTGCAACAAATCATAGTCCACCCTCCCAGGCACCTAGGCTGTGCTCTCGCTGTCACCGGAAGGGGCACACCGCCAACAACTGCCTGCGAGATACCAGGTGCAATTACTGCTACAAGAAAGGATATCAGGAGGACCAGTGTCGGAAGAAAAAGGAACTTGACAGACAGGACCACCTGTTTAGAGACCTGTTCTCAGAACAAACCAGCAGGATCTCTGAATTGGTGAACACTCTCACACGTCACCCACTCAGCTACTCCTATCCCAGCAGAGCAGGTGGTATTGTGCCTTATACAAGACCACAGACCTACATCCCTGCAGCTGCCTCAGTACCCTACCTCTCTCAAGGGCAGGCACTTTACATGCCCTACACACCCACCACCTCAAGCTGACCACATCATGAGGAGCCAGTCTATCAGCATCCTGTCGGCCAACATTAGAGGTTTCATTACTAATGTTGGAGAGCTCACACATAGTTTTGTGAACACTCGACGTCCCGACATGATAGCTGTTGTTGAAACATTTTTGGATGACAGGACTCCAGAAAATTTTGCAAGAATTGCTGACTACACCTCATGGATGAGAAGAGACAGGCAAGGGCAAGGAGGAGGTGTTGCTGTGTGTTTCTCTAAAAGTGTTCATGCCGGCACATTGATGTTGCCACCCCTACACATCTTGAAATGATGTTTTTCAAGCTATGCATAAACACTAGTACCTCTGTACTAGCATGTGCAATGTACAGACCTCAGTGGCAGCATGCAGACCCCATCAACTTTCTAATGGAAAATATTGACTCCCTTCTGCTACAACACAACTGTCAACATATCATAATTGTTGGTGACCTCAACCAACACCTTATACAGAGGGACTTTGATGACCTTCTTGCAGTATTTGACATGAGAAACTTTGTTGATTTCCCTACTCACATCTCTGGCTCCTCCCTTGACCCAGTAGTGAGTGATCTGGCAGAAGGCATAGTCACTTGTCAACCCCTCGGCTACGTTGGATCGTCTGACCACAAGGCAGTTTTTACGATACTTAAGATCCCAACAGAACGAGGTGCGGAGTCCACACGCACAACCTGGCTATGGGAAAGAGGTAATTGGCCAGCCCTTTGCTCTGAGCTCGCCACCACCGATTGGAATGCTCTTCTCCAAGGGGATGTTGACAACCAAGTGAAAGCTTTCACTGGATACATCCTTAATCTACAACAAGAACACATTCCTCACCGGCAATATGTGACAAAGCCTACAGATCAGCCTTGGTTTGGCTTTCGTTGTAGAGAGGCTGCTACTGCTAAGTACAAAGCATGGCGAAGGTATAAGAGACATCCTACCACCTATAACAGGAACTTGCACAGGCAATCCTGTAGGTATATGGGTGACGTTCAAAAGTGGGCCATTGCTAAATGGGAGGTAGACACTAAAAGAAAGCTAGCATCAGGTAGGGTAGGCTCCAAAACCTGGTGGTCCTTGGTCAAGGACAGACAAGGTTACCTGCCTGATGAACTCATTCCACCTCTAAATCGACAGGGTGGGACCATCTCTACTAGTAGTCAAGAGAAGGCAGACCTCTTTGCTGAACACTTTGCTGCCAAAATGCAAGTTCCTGATCCAGCAAGGGACCCTCCTTGGCTAGCTGCAAGAACTGTGTCAAAACTGTTAGTGGTGACAATAAGGCATGAGGAGGTGCATTTCCTTCTTAAATCGCTTGACCAAGAAAAGGCTGTGGGCCCAGACAAGTTGAGCCCAAGATTGCTGAGAAGATGTGCAAACCAGTTAGCAGCACCTCTAACTCGCATCTTTCAGCACTGCCTAGTACAGTGTAAATGGCCCTCTCTATGGAAAGAGGCAAATGTAGTCCCTGTTCACAAAAAGAAGAGCAGAGCAGAAATCAGCAACTACAGACCAGTGTCACTCCTGCCAATCACTGGTAAGATCCTGAGACAATAATCTCAAGACAAATGACAGAGTTTTTTGACTACCACTCACTACTTTGTGATCGTCAATGTGGCTTCAGGAAAGGTTACTCTGCTGCTGATCTGTTGTTAAACCTCTCCACTAAGTGGCACCAGTCACTGGATGAATCCAAAGTCAGCTGTGTGGTAGCACTGGACATTGCTGGCGCTTTCGACCGGGTGTGGCAAAAGGGCCTCTTAGCAAAACTTCAAGCACTGGGAATTGCAGGCTCTACGTTATATCTCCTCAGTGATTACCTTCATGGTAGATCTCTAAGTGTAGTCTCAATGGAATGGAATCAGCAAGACATCCTATTGGAGCAAGTGTTCAACAAGGAAGCGTACTGGGATCATTGTTATGGAATGTCTACTTCAACGACCTTCTTCATCTCATCCCAGAATCCCATGCATATGCATACGACTGTACACTGACATTCACTTATCCAAGAGAAGAAATGCCAGCTTCTCTAAGCTACATCAATCACCAGCTGAGAGCTATATCAGCTTGGGGAAATAGATGGCAAGTAACATTTGCACCTGAGAAAATGCAAATGATGATCTTCTCTAGGCACCATGATGGTAATGCTGGTGCAGCAGTAAGAATGAATGGGAGGGTGTTGGTACTTGGAGAAGAAGTTGATATCCTTGGAGTGAAATTTGACTCCACACTAACCATGAGGAACCATGTTGTAAATCTTGCAAACAAGGCAGCCAGGAAGCTTACAGCACTTTGCCGTATCTCGCATCTGCTTGACAGTAGGGGTTGCAATATTCTGTACGAGGCACACCTTGATTATGCTCCACTTTCTTGGCTTGCTTGCCCCCCCCCTCTCATCTGCGACTGCTTGACGGAGTGGAGAACAGAGCAAGACGTCTCATCTCTCGCCTGGACCCATTCTGGATAAATCTGTCATTTCAGCAGAGCCTTCAACATAGGAAGGATGTGGGTGGCCTTACTGTTATGTACAAGGCCAATATTGTCAAAGTACCACACTTGGATCCACTTCGAGGACAGCGTGAAACAAGCTTTTATGCCACAAGACGGGCAGAAAGCAGCAACTTCACTCTGGCTGTACCCTTCTCCAGAACATCACTCCATCTGAGGTCATATATACAGGATGACTCGAGTATGGAACACATTCGTACAGCATAATGATGTCAACGAGATAAAGTCAGTTGATCAAAAGAAAATGCTGGCCCACAGATGGCTCCAACTTCATCCTGTTCCCTACTTGTATGTCTCATAACAATAAAATTGCTTTCAAATGAGCTGATGTAGGTAACAGCTCTTAGCTTGTCAATAAAG